CTGCTACGACTACTACTACTACTATTACTACTACTACTGCTACACTCCTACTCCTACTCTTACTAGGTCTACCTCCTAATGATGACAGTCTTGACCAGGAGCTGCTTCGGCTGCTTCTCCGCCTGCGAAGCCTTCACCTCCCGGAATGTCCCAGGGTGGCCAAAGAAATCATTTGCTTGAGTTCTTTGAACTAGGAGTGGGTGGCATGATTGAGAACAATGCAGGAGTGTAGGAATCAACTACTCAGCTACTTTTTACTAATGCGACGGGGCGACGACGACGAAGACTACTGCCACTGCATGCCCTTATTGCTACAAGCCTTCAACCCGCATGCTGAAGCCAAGGATGTATTGATCCCTGTGAAGACCAAGGTTCGGAGGGTTCGCGTTTTTTCTGTTTTGAAGCGTTTGTTTTGCACGGGCAATCCCACAAAAAGCAAAACTGATCTGCTACAGGGCGACGGGGAGCTTGGCAAGTTGCTTGGGTGTTCAGACGATGTGAGGGCCAGTGCGCTGTTGCGAAAACAGCTCTCATTTATTTAGCAGTGCGCATGTCTTTGCGTTTCACATGGTGATGTCCCGCCCGTTGCTTTGATGAAGAGAAAGGGAACATGGACTTCCGACGAGAAAAATCGTTCTGATTGCGGACGTTGCCACCGTGCACATGTTTTCCTGCCCTGCACGGGGCTATGGTAATGACATTCATCACTCATCAATTGGCAATTTTGCAGGTTGTCGCCTGGATATTCTCGATTTCCGAGCCTGTATCTTCGAAGAAAATACAGAGCTCGGCCCATTAGCATTATTCTTTCTAGCGCATGGTGTCCTGGAAGGACAGCAGGCAGGAAGTTTTCGGGCCGTCTGGGCCTGTGCATGTCCCAATGCGAAAGTTGCTTCGAGATTTTCGGGAACTTGTGGGAGTGAGCCTGAGTGCTAATTGGGGGTGGAGAACTCTGGTTTGGACAGGCGCATGTACCAGATGGTTGGACATGACTCGCTGGAACACTCCTTCCCCTACTCTGCAAAATCCTCCTCCCCTCCGTAGGTGCATCATCGTTGCTGTCGTCATCACTGTGATCGTCCCCATATTCCAGAGTAGCCACTGTGGTGCAGCGCCCCGAAGCCTTGGCTTTACAGGCCCAGCGGCGGTAGCGAGGCCGCCGTTGCCTTGGCCGTGGCCTACGCGCACTCCTTGCAGAAGGCCCCTGAGAAGGGACTCAACACCTCGACCTTCACCATGGTTCTTTTGGGCTCACGGTACTGTTCAGATCATCGTGGCTTCAACGGTTTTCGTAGTAGTGGCGGTATGACAAACTGTCCTCTGTAGTGGTGCGAACAGAATAGCCCTTGCACATTTCCGGCAGCAACAGCAATACAACATCCCAGATTGTACAGTAGCAGTCATGCGAATCCTGTCCTGCAGGGCCGAAAGAGGGCGCAGAGTTTCATCTCGTCCGCGGCAGAGGTGGTTTAAACGTGATGATTTTTTCGCCGGGCTTTCCTTGTTGGGCGATGCTTTCTGTGCGGGGGACAGTGACTTTAAGGCTGCAAGCCAGGGTAGCTTCAAGAAGGCACCTGTCTGGACACGTCAACTGGTGTGTTGCTGTTGATGTTCGCCTTTCAAGGATCTTGTACCTCGGGTCGGGGCCCCTTTGTGCTGTAACTGCGATCCGGCCAGTGGGCGCAGAAGAACCTCGTGTCCGAGAGCTTAACCAAGTGGCCAGACACGAAGGTGCCCCCGACCGGCTTTTTTGCTTGTGGAGCCTCTCCGACTTGTGAGGCCAGGCCTTCTGTCAGTGATCTGGTGCCAGGAGGGTCTGGAGAAGATCAAAGAGCTCTGGCTCTCCAGTGCTAAGAAGGTGCACCTGCACAGCATCACCTGGGTTCAGGTGTTATCTCAGCTGCGGTCTTTCAGGACGACCGCGCAACGCTGGAGCCCCTCTGGGGTGAGGTGCAAAGGCCCTATACATGGAAGAGATCCCGAGATTTCTGAGCCTTTCTTTCGGTGTCTTGTTTTGACGGCAGGAATGCTTCGAGACCAGGGGCCTACTTGGCGAATTGCAGCGACTATGTGGCCTCCACAGGCGCCCAAAAGGGGCACCTCCTCTTTGAAGGCTTCCGACGTCGGCCCCTGCCAGGTGTGCCTGTGCCGTCGCTTCTGGTCAATGGCAAGGCCTAGCTTCCTAGTTTCGAAACGCAGCAGGACTCTAGGCCTCAGATGCTGACACTGCCCGGCTCACTGCGATTGGTTGGAGGATTGATTCAAGTAGCAGGCTCTTCCATCGCACCCTGGTGGTTGGCTTATTGGCAGGCTTTCTCTTCCAGAGGCAACAGTGCAAAAATGTGTAAAAGCAAGCAGCATGTGCTGACGAGCATCATGATGCCACAACACCCCCTGAAAGCACGCTGTGTGTCAGCAACTACCCAGCCAACACCCCCCAGCTTGTCTCAGCAGATCACTGTTCCAGCTGCTACATCGTCACCTGGCCTTTGTAAGTACCGTGCAAGCGAAGCCAATCAACATCCACAGTTGCATAACAAATAAACTGCGTGCATGTGCTTTCAGCTTGCATCCCGCAATGGGCGCAGCTTTTCCTTCCACCAATGCCCGGGACACAGGTGGATTTGCTGAGTTGCCCAAGAAGCCACGACCCTAAACCCAACGTGTAAATGTTGAGCCCTCGACGTCCTTTGCCAAGGTCACTGGCATGGTTGCAGACAGCCTCGGGCTGGACAAGAACCTCTGCCGACAGGCCGCGCATGCAGATGCAGATCTCCCAATAGCTGTTGGAAAGGTCTGTCGGGATCCTGAGTCGCTAAAAGGTATATGTACATATGTTAATATATATATATATATATATATATCTATCCATATCCGCCGACCCCGCCGGTCGGCGCACAGAAGCTATCTTGCGGCATTTTTTTTAGCAGTAGCAGGGTAGTTACAAGTTAAGTGGCTCGGATGCATGCCTAACTCCTTGCCAGTTTCACCGGAGCTTTACTCCACTCCAGTCCCACCGCAGACTTCTCGGCACACTTTGGGCGCGTTCTGGGCTGGTTGAGTAGTTTAATTGGCTCCCAATGCATGCCCAACCCCACTCCAGTCCCACCGCAGACTTCTCGGCACACTTTGGGCGCGTTCTGGGCTGGTTTTCACTGTTTTTAGCTGCTTTTTAGTAGTGGTAGTAGAGTAGTTTAATTGGCTCCCAGGGCATGCCCAACTCCACTCCAGTCCCACCGCAGACTTCTCGGCACACTTTGGGCGCGTTCTGGGCTGGCTTTCACTGGTTTTTACACACTATGGGCGCGTTCTGGGCTGGTTTTCACTGTGCTCCCAATGCATGCCCAACCCCACTCCACCGCACACCTCTCGGCACACTATGGGCGCGTTCTGGGCTGGTTTTCACTGTTTTTAGCTGTTTTTTAATAGTAGTAGAGTAGTTTAATTGGCTCCCAATGCAAACCCCACTCCAGTCCCACCGCACACCTCTCGGCACACTATGGGCGCGTTCTGGGCTGGTTTTCGCTGTTTTCAGCTGCTGTTTAATAGTAGTAGAGTAGTTTAATTGGCTCCCAATGCATGCCCAACCCCACTCCAGTCCCACCGCAGTCCTCTCGGCACACTCTGGGCGCGTTCTGGGCTGGTTTTCGCTGTTTTTGGCTGCTTTTTAGTAGTAGTAGTAGTAGAGTAGTTTAATTGCGTTCTTTTTGGGGTCGGCGGCATTGGCTGCCGCCATTTAATCGGGCAACGCCCTGGGGTTTCCGCCCGTAGGGCCATGCCCCTAGCTTTGCTATAGGTCGGAAGCCAATGCCCCGGAACAAGCATCATTGGACCCTCGTTTTTCCATCGGGCCGCGCGGGACATGGTTGGGAGGCTTACACGGCAAGGCGCACGTTTTGCGGCCATTCCCCATGCTATGGCGTGTTTTGGAGCACCCACACGCGACACTTGGGCGGCACGCGGAGAGCATCATGAGCACCCGGCGCGCGCGCAAGCCAATGTTTTTGGGTACCGGAAGGCCTCAAATCGGTGCCCCGCGCGCGCAATGATGCGCCCTTCCCTGCCCCCCGCCTAATGAATGAGTGAATGAATGAATGATTGAATGAACGAATGATTGAATGATTGAATGATTGGATGATTGATTGGTTGATTGATTGATTGATTGAATGAATGAATGAATGAATGATTGATTGATTGATTGATTGATTGAAAAATTGATTGATGGATTGAATGAATGAATGAACGAATGAATGAATTAGGGAATGCATGAATGAATTGCCTGCGTTGCCCGACTCTGGGCGCAGCCCCTTAAATAAATAAACAAATAAATAAATAAATATATATATATATGTATATATATACAAAAAACATATAATGTACATATACACACGCATACACATATGTATTTCTTTATGTGCACATCCACATGTATACATATACATTCACATCCATCTATCTATCTATCTATCTGTCTATCTATCTATCTATCTACCTATCTATATATACATAAATAAATAGTTAAACTTGCGCATATATACATATATGTCTATGTATATATATATACACA